TACAAATATTTTCTAAAAAGTTGAATGGGATGCATATTAGCTGCATAATAAATATAAAGAGTTACTCCTTTTTAAAAATGCATATACCTATTTATTTATTCATTTGTTTTGTTTTGTTTTATTCTATTCTATTTTTTTATTTTGTTTTTCCCTATGTTCCTATATGAACAGATCTGCGGTTTATTTTGCAATTAGTGTCAGTGACGTGTTTCTCATTTTCTTTTTCTTTCCGAAGATTTATAGCGACACACACATCGACATTAAGCTTGGGTGTGGAAAAATCAAGTCAAATGTTTTACACAGATGACATTCCCAGGCGGGACCCACCATGACTTTGTTCTTAATGTATGAAATAATGGTAAGAAGTTTCCCATAAACCTTTGATTTCTCCACTTTCCAACATGGAAACCCAACATGAAAGTCAATCCGAGGAGGATATTTAAACAGACTCAAAACTTGACACCACATAGCAACACTGAATGGCAAAACATAACATTTGACCGATGACAGTTTGATAACACATCATGAAGTAAGCTACAAAAGACACAAACTCTCTTTCTCTCTATCTCACCCACTCAGAGGATTACAGTATCCAGTTTATGAAATTCCAACAGGAAGCATTGTGTCCAGTTATTATTAATGGTAGCTGACAGAATGATTGCAGTCCTTGTCTCGCATGCTAATTGAAGGACCGAGTTTCCACAAATGTCAATGCATTATGGAAGTGGATCGTATTGAGTTACTTAATCAGAAAGGTCCTTTGTGTTGTGTGTATAGATGCCTGGAAAGATATTTCATATATTACAGGAATAATCAATTTAATTAGCAATATGTGCATTCTGAATCCATTATGTATTCATTTTTATTACTATTTATATCCATTTGTTGCTTTAAAAAGGTAAAACTGTAGCAACTGCGACTTTAACATTCACCATAAAATATGTTAACATTTCAAGCATTATGCCATTTTGCCCCCTGTATGCTTTACAGTTTACAACGACATATAGGTCTAGGCCTATAATTAACTGATATAAATAAACTTGTTGAACACAGGAAGTGTGAAGTGTGATTTACTGCTTGCTAGTTTGGCTGCAGGTGGTATTAAGGGGCGGGGCATTCTCATTCTAGAAAACATTTGATTGGATAAAAATCTGTGTAGAACAACATGAGTCATCAACCTCAAAACTGAACAATTAAAAAGTAAATCTGCTAAAAGTGAATTTTGTAAATATTTCAGAGTATGATATGATGCAGGACAGTTCAACCCTGCTTCTGCTTGAGGGTGACTCTTATGTTGCGAGTGCCCACTGCACCGTGGTACCAACAGGAATCAACTTATTATTGCATCTAAACCATCTAAATGGTTCAGGGACAACATGAAATGCTCCTCCTTCAGATCATTTGATATTGTTCCTGAATGAAGCAGCAGGGACCACCGTCTCAACCTCTACTCAGCAGGCTAGGCAGGTTGAGCCAGACAGATAACACAGGCATTGTCTCTGTAGAGTCTGAGGGGGGGGGGGATTTTTTCCTGGTCAGTGGGTTCACACATGCAGACGGCTCCAAAGAAGAGCAAGTTGGCAGAGGTACAGTGAATTTAAGTGCTGCCCAGTGCGGAGCAAGGAGAGAGAGAAGGTCATCCCACTGCACCAGACTTGCTCAGACACACAGCAAGGCATCAGCACAAAACCCACTGTATTACTTTACATGTAGCTGTCTCACAGCACTGGGGATGGGGGGATAATTCATTCATTCTGTAAACACGATCTTGTGGTTTGAACTCAGCTTACTGTTACTCTCCATTCACAGCTGTTGTGGAGAAGAACCACATTCAAAGGGTTTATCCTTAAGTACTTATAGTGATTGCGTGACTTCTCTCAAATGATACATGGCTGTGCATATAAAGTAGGCCTACATTACTAAAAAAAATAAGATCTCTCCAACTAAAAAATGTTCAGTGACTGAGTCCATCTAAAATTTCTAGTTGGCTTAAACATGCACACATGCAATGTTTTGGTTGATGTTGTGCTTGCAAATATAACATTCATCTTGGAATTATTTAGGCCTAGTTGATACTGACACCTGGTGGAGTGAATGTAGCAGTCACTCATTGCAGAAATGTTCGATTCAAAGTCAGCCACAAAATATTTATTTTGTGAGCATATGGGTTAATAACAGGGGGTTACCATAATAGTATGCAATAGTATTCAGCTAGTCATGTGATTTCAAAATGGCAACCTCCTTAAGGTGACCCGCTCCATGTAAAATGAAATACCTTTTTAACTTTAAACATATTATTCAATAGTGCTACACTATAATGTACTTTAAAATACTTAAGTGCAAACTGAATGTAATGTTTTCATGTTAATTAAATGAAAATGTATTATAGTTCAAATTTAAATGAAATGCAATTAGCTGTATTTAAAAGTGTAGAATTAGAATTTTATCATTATATGATATTTCATGTACTGACCTTTATGGTAAACTAAAATAAACTTTAATGCCATTTCTATTAAAACTTCTATGTGATGTATTTAAATATATTTGTAATTACACATTTGTAATGATGAAGTTGCAATTTTGTTCTTTTAAAACATATTAACTTTTAATGTAATATCAAATAACACACCATACAGTTAAAATTGAAATTAAGTTAGTTAAACTTATTATTAAGTTAGTCAACCCATCAAAATAAGGGTACTTCCTTAAAGTATGACAAAAAAATATTAAAACAAAACGATTTCAAATGTACTTTAAAGTGAAACGTTATTACAAAGTGACTTTTATTAAAGTGCATAAAGTCATGAAAGTGTACTCTCTAGAGTAGACTTTTATTTTGTTAAAATGATCTTATCTGCAAGTATAGGTCTTTTTTAAGTAAATACTTTAAAGATTTGAAGTATTAGAAGTGCAGATTCAATACGATTAAGTGCACTTCTTTTTCAGAAGGATGGGATTTGAACCCATGACCTTGCCAATAGCACCATGCTGTTTCAGGAACACCATGGTACTGCAATGTCACCATTGTCAGCTTAGCTGAGAAGTCCTTTAAGGGACTCACCGTTCATTTGGCTTTGCTGAAGAGTAAATCTGTAAAGAGTTTTTCAATGTTCTTTTCATCCTGTACATACTAATTAGATTCATTGTCCACTGTTGCTCAGCAAATATAGGCCTATAGAGTTTTTTAACAGAATATAAGATGTTAACTCAGCATAATAACTTTTTATATAAACTTTATTAGTTAAGTGGCATTAAACAAGTTTTCTATTTTGTTACAATTTCATTTCATGCCACATCCCATGGTTAAATCTACCTTGATTTCTTTTCTTCAGCCTGCAAGGGTCAGATCAACTCTCCATGTGCCATAGCAATGGTCTTTCAACAACATCGCTAACCACTGAACAAAACCTTGTCCTGCTGGCCGACCCATTGCCGACACCATCAGTGATCATTGTTCTTTGATGAAAACAGCAAGAGAAAAACATCACAGACATGTCTGTGCCAGTCTAACTCATTTGCCCATGAACACTGACCACACACAGCAGGAGGTTATTGGGTGGTTTCAAAAAGCTTCCAGAATCAGTAATACTGGCCATCTATTAACATGTCCTTCCACATTGACTACTGTGTCCCCTCTAACCACTTTTCTGTGAGCGTGTGAGAGAGACTGTACTATGTAAGCACTTCTATTGGCTCATCGTGCGAACTATGAGATGGTATTAGTGGAGAGAAGTCTTCTCCCAAGTCTCAGTGAAAGCAATGTCTGTTCATTGAAGCAATGAGAGAGCTCATTCCTCTGAGGTCAGCCAGACCGTACTTTGACAAAACGTACCCAAGAAGCCAGGCTAAGCATCAATCATCTAGACAGGAATTATATCAAATAAATAGTCGACAACCCCTTTTCCACGGATAATGTTATTGCAGTGTTTTACACATATGCGCTGATGAGTGTGGATATTGTGGTTCAGTTTCTAAATCAAATCAGATCATTTTATTGTCACATCACAGCAATGATAGATTAAAGTATTTGGAGCATATTCCAAAAATAATGCAGTGGTGTAGTGACAGATATCAGACTAGAATATGCACAATGCACAAGTAGACCGATAATCGGTTTGAACTGATATTTTTTGTTACTTTAGGCTATGGCATCATTTGTGCGTGCATTACTGTTACAACATTACTTTGAAAACAACTGTTTCTATAATAAAGCTCCTTATTTAATGCCTGAAAAAAATGACATAACTTTACATATATGTGATAACACTGTAAAAAAATGTATATGACATTTGTATATGACATATGACAACATATGTTTTTACATTGCTTTAACTCATCAAAATAAGTTAAGCAAATTTCACGTTTTTTATACAAGATTAAAACATTTTTTGTCAGTTTTATGTAATTTAAGTTGAAATGACTTAAACATTCAAGTTAATTGTAGCCTACTTAAAAATTTAGCAAATGCATACTTAATATTTAGCGAGTATAGCCTATATATTCTCTCAATAATCTTTTATTCTTGACGAGAAGCAAAAATAAAACGACATTTAATAAAGCAATATATTTTGCATATTGGTTATGGAAATGGCATAAATTAAGTGAGATTTTGCAGATGCGTGCGCCAGCTGAGATTGATAGAGAAGCGATTTTCAGTTTCGGAATTAATAAAAAGTTACAAAATAGTTATTTATTGCTTAGAAATAGAGGCGCGCGAAAATAATCGTTTGTCAGGAGGAAACACTTTAAATGTATATAGCATAATGCAAACACTGCCATGTGTCTGCTGGGAATATAGTGATGAAAAAGACACCGTCCAAATTACGCATGGGAGTGACTCTAAATTCAACTTCTGTCTCTTTCTAAAAACACACCACTTTCTCTAACTCTCCTATTCGTTTTCGTTCTGCAATGCAATCGTTTCTGATCTGTTAGTAAGTCGTAGAAAGATCCAAATTCAAGCCTATTCTAAGAAACAGATGACGTTATTTGACAGGGTGCCCAAAATCCTTAATGAGTAACTTAGCAAGAGGAGAAGGCAAATGCTGCCCCAGCTGTTTCCTGTTGAAAATGTCTCTGTAATGTAGATAAATGTGAGGGATTTTCTCTCCAAATCCGTCTCCCGTTCGCTAAATCTCACTTCTCCACAACGAGCCTGCGCAATGGAACAAAGTCGGAATATTGAGATGTGACATTGCCCGCATCTCATCCTCTTTCTCGCTTTTTAATGACTTCAAACAAGTTCATTTTTGCTGGGCTTTTGCTGGAGACCCATGGGGATGTCTAGCGGTCATTTCTTCCAGGGGCATTGGTGTCATGCCTTTAAGGTAACTTAACCTATTTCCTTTGAAAGCAAAAATAGGCAGCTTAGACTAACCATTATTGATTTCTCAGTGAAGCAATAGCCATTGATATAGATTGAATGATATTTTAAGACAATTTGCACTCAATTTGAAATTTGATAAATGGTCAATCTGCATCTTTACGCAATTTGCATTACATTAGGCATGTGCATGCAAAAGTAATTCACATTAAAGATCTGACAGCTGTATTATGGCAAACTTTTGAGACTTACGACAGATTGCGTGATGTGTATGGTGAGTCATATCATGATGCACCAGGGAGTACATTTGCGCAGTGCACAAGTCACCAACTTGTAGGCTATATCACGACCCTTAAAAGTTAATATTGCTGAGTTGACACGAATCAGGGCTTTGGCAGAAGGATTTGCAGCATAGCTACTTGTGCGTTGTGTGTTTGCGCATTATATTCTCTTTATTATGTAAAGTGCTTCCTCTTTGGGTTTGGCGGCTTTGCAGCTTTCCAGTTCCAATCTTTTATCCAAGCAACCCAAAAGTGCATGGTTTTCAAAAGCGCTCTTCTTTTACCGGACAACTGGGTCCAAGCAGCAGTATCCTATTGGCACGGGCGAGAACTAGGCACTTCAAAGCGCGCGCTGGAGCGCATTCGTGGAGAAGTGCCTCGAAATAACGCGCTCTGTTTTAGCGAGATTGTGTGCAGATAGAGGTAGGACAATTGACTTGTAAAGCCACCACAGAAACGGGGTTTTGATTGGGAGACACTATTCAGTTAAAGCCAAGAGCGCAAAAGTAGCTATAGATGTATTGACAGGTGCATTGAACAGTTCAACTTTATTTTGCATTGAATCGTTTTTTGTGTGTGTCATTCTTCTTATGAGCAATGAGTTGAAGTTGTTTTTAGTATCCTCAATATCCAGGCACATGTCTCTGCAGGTTATTTGATATGCAAAAGCAGATTTTAGAAACATGAATGATAGTAACATCTGTGCAGATGGATTGATGTATGTATGTATGTATGTATGTATGTATGGATAGATAGATAGATAGATAGATAGATAGATAGATAGATAGATAGATAGATAGATAGATAGATAGAGATAGATAGATAGATAGATAGATAGATAGATAGATAGATAGATAGATAGATAGATAGATAGATAGATAGATAGATAGATAGATAGATAGATAGATAGAATACGAGGAAAGAATAAATCAGTAAATAAAATAAATAAAATAAAAACAATAAATATATAAATAAAAGACCATTATCCTTAATTATGTTTCAGTGCATATATCTAATATATTTATGGTTCCTCTCTCTCTGTGATGCATGCAGTGTACCATGCGCTGTCTCTCGTGCACCCACACCCTCTCACTGGTGCTGTGCGTACTCGCGTTGACTCCCGCGACACTGGAGGCGGGGCCGGAGACGCTGTGCGGGGCGGAGCTTGTAGACACGCTGCAGTTTGTGTGTGGAGACAGGGGCTTTTATTTCAGTAAGTGCACATTTTATTTATTCATCAACTGCTCTTCTTTCTCTTCCTCTCTCTCTCTCTCTCTCTCTCTCTCTCTCTCTCTCTCTCTCTCTCTCTCTCTCTCTCTCTCTCTCTCTCTCTCTCTCTCTCTCTCTCTCTCTTTCTCTCTTTTCCTCTTTCTCCATGCATGCACTAATGCGCCACTCATAAATAAGAAAAGCATCAGTTTTCATGTCTTGCTGTCCAATTTCCCAAAATTTCTCCTTTGCTTTTTTTGTCTGTTACATTGGATAGAAAGTTAACAATAACCTACATGTCAATGCAAGTTTCTGGTCTGCACGATTAACCAGTGCCTGTTATTCTAAATATAAATGTGTATAAGCTTTCATCAAAATATATTTACATAATTACATTGCTCAACCTCTAAAATGACTTTCCTAATCGCCTGACATCACAAATGCCTCACTTTTCAAACATTCCCATTAACCAAATGCATTCTGGTATGTAACATCCATTTTTTTTATAGGGGAAACAAATTAATTATCCCTTTTCACTCTGAAATACATACAGTATGTCATTATGTATGTAATGTGATTGCTGCTTCACTTTGTAAGGTGAGCAGTTGCAATGCCAAGAGGCAGCTGAAAGAAATGCTCTGGCTGATGCTTGTGTATTACATTTAAAGAAGATCAGCCAGCTGCTTTGCCCCCAAAATGAGGTTGCTGGAATTTGGCAGACACGAGTAGGCAGGGCAAATGAATGTAGTGCACATCTTATTTCCAACTGAGTAGTGGACTACCCAAAGAAAACCATTTTGAATCCTAGACTTAAATCTCTTTTTTTCCACAACCCATGAGAGTTGCTGACTCTTGAGTTGTCCCAATCAGCAGAAGGCAGAGAGAGTTTTAGACCTTGATGGGACTTGCTGTTACACTTTGTTCATACACTTTATGGACTTTATCTTGAGCATGCAATTAATTCAAATTTAATCTGTATTATTTATTAGTCAATTTGTTTAACAGGATGATCTTTTTCGATTCCTAAGTGTGTTTAGTGCTATAGGATTAAAGGGATTTTCACACAGAAATTTGGATTGTCATTACTTAATGACTCACTCAAAACCCATTTTGATTTCTTTACTGTGGTGCACAAAATAAGACATTTAGCAGAAAGTGTAGCAGTCTACATCTCCATACATTGAAAGAGGATTGTGATTTTTTTGTCAAAAACAATTAGTTATTAACAGAAAATCTCATCTTCAGCCTAATCAAGATATGATACATGGGTGAACTTTCCTATAGCCATCATTTCAATGTTTATTCAAGGGTGAATCAACATCATGGTTCAATGTTGAATTACTGTGAATTTTGTTTAGATTTTGCAATTCAACTGAACATTGATATCACAACATTGTTTTAGTGTTAATTATATTCATTTTGTTAACCTTTTTACAACATTTAGCATCAAACATTCTTTCAACATTGAAAAAAATGCTACATAGATGAACAACTAACACTACTTCTACCACATTTCAATGTTGAAGGTCGGTCACATGCTGGCTGGTATTTTTTGCATCCCTTTAAACAACAAGAAATATGCAGAATAGCATGACGCAATGACTTTCATTTTTGAGTGAACTATCTTTTTAAGGCCAGGTTGCTTGAAAAAACTCAAACTGGATAACTATTTTGCAATGTCCACTCAGCAGCAGTAACTGGATCAGAAAATGTTTCTAATTTTAGACTATTCCTATTTTCTGAAAAATCAATTGCCCTGTCTATGACATTTGATTTCAGCTGCCCAAATGAGACCAGTTACATCACATTGTGCAGCTATGCTGTTTTAAAGTTTTCCACATAAATTGTTATCTGTTTGAATTACCCAATGAGATATTTACGATGTGCAAATGGCTCGAGAAAGTATGTGAGTCTCAGGCCACCGATGATGACGTATAAAGTGATTATTTTGACAAGTGGACAGAACCCACTGATTCTAAGGAGACACATTTTATTCACTTAAAGCGAAGCAAGATTAAACTTCAAGTTAGAGTTGACATTTTAAGTTTCCAGTCAACAACATTTGAGCTTTTAGTGGTCACAAAGGAGCTGGCTGGATCACTCATGGCTGTCAATGGACATGTGTTTGTTTTGTCAGTAGAGAGCCCAAAATAAATATGTTTATGCTAATCTGAACTTTCCGTGAAATTATTGCATCAGCGTGACAGATTCGGTGAAGAGCAAATAGACAGATTTTATACAGATCATTTGACTTTGACCAACCGGTATATATAAAACTTAAAGGAATTTCTTGTGTGCCCCAACAACCCCAACTTTTTAACACTAATTATACTGGATACATCATTAGTAATATAAGTAAAGTTACTTTTAAACAGACTGGCATCAAACACATGAACCCATAAACAAACTGGATTCATCTAAGGAGCAAGCAGCATTGTGTTCAGTGACAGTGTTCAGTGCGACCCATTTCACCAGTTCTCTTGTCACTGCCAGTGCAGGAACTCCACTCACATTTCAATACTTCAGATTTTATTATCTTGATAGAAAGGTGAAATACTACTCGTGGGATTTTTTTTATTATTGAAACCAAATGTGGTCTTTTGAAGACATCGAAAAGAGGAAGACACAGAAGCAGAAGAAGAAACTGACTGTCAGTTTTTCCAACTGTTGGCCTGACCTAGAAATCCTCGGTTGTCGTTGAAATGCCTCAGCAGCCGTCTCATCCCAGATTGTCTTCGGTTCTAAGGGGTTATTGGAGAGGAGCGGGACTCCGGAATGAGTGAGGCAGTGCTGGAACACAACATCCTGCTTTTACAGAGGGCACTTGGTGGCCAGACGTGTTTGTGCTGACATAAAGCTGCCCTTTCCCTCCATGGTCATTCAACTGTGTAGTCATCATTTGCAGCAAAGTACCTCTGACGTCTGCCAACAGCCTGAGCGTGTACCTCGTGATGCATTCCCATTCCCGAGACACCAACACACGGGGAACGTGGAAAGTTTTGGCTCAGTATACGCTGTAAAATCACAATTTGGCCAGGAGTGGGTGCAAGTCTCCTCTCACACATTTGCAAGAATCTCCAATGATCTGGCACCTCTGGATGACAGGGATATCTCTGCTGACGATTGCCTTATTCAAAATCGGGAAGTTCCTACATACGAATTATGACCTGTTGTGCATTCAAGTTAGACTGGGAAAACCTAGACAACTTCTGGCAAATTTAGATTTGCTCTGAAAGTTAGTCTGGCAAAGAGCTCATTCAAGCCCATTTCCAATCCGTCAAAATCGAGACACCAATCAGAAACGTTGGGGCGGGCTTTACACGATGACGACAGCGCTGGGATTTTGAAGCACATTTTGTTGCCTACATTACAGAGATGGATGCCGCCGTCGAACATCACTCGTTCGAATCAGCTATCGCGTCTGTTTTAAGCGATTTGAACGTTTCATTTTCGTTAAAAAACGAGCAAAGAACAACACTCAGAGATGTTTCTCCGCCGCTCTGCATACGTCATCTCCTTCATCGCTCTGATTGGTTTTAGGTCTATCCGCGACGTCCGTTGGACGCCCCTCTGGAAATGATTTCTCTATGACGCTTTGCCAGACCATAACTCAGTTACAACTGAGAATGGTCTGGTTTTAACCAGGCTACATTCAAGTGATTTTGGTTGGAGTAAAATACACATTCTGGACTATTTCATTGGAAGCTTTTAATGAAAATGGAAGAAAATAAAAAGATAAATAAACAGATGCTTTCATTTGTGTATTGTATCATTTTTGTGCTGCCATGGAGAATTATGGGAAATGTAGTTTGGTTGCACAAAAATGTGCTTAACCAGCTAAATGAGTAGCATTTCTGGACAGCTTGAATGTTATTCTTCGAGCACAAAATGCCCGTAAATTGTACTGCCAACACTCACAATTAAAACATATTATGATCAATATCAATGGATTTTTGGCCATAATTATTCAATTGACACTCAACTTAGAAAGTTTGGCCAATCACAACTGATGGTGTTAATCAGTGCCGGGCAATCACTGATTCACTGATATCACAAGTCACGTTATATGATTTGACTGATTTGTATGTTACATAGGAAGGGCGACAGCACACCTCTTAAAAGGAAAGAAACAGAATGCGGAATCAAGTTTACATAATCGTTGGAAACCAAAATCAAAAACTTTGCGTACAGGGATGACCGGCATTGGTGTTTATGTGCCCCCATCTTGCAAATATGATCATTCCAACATTATTAAGCATTGTTAATCAATCAATGATGAAAGATTGCAGGTGACCCCCACTCCGTAGCAAAGTTTGCAAAACAGAATTCTGTCACGAACGTCAGTGATAGGCCTACTTTTCAGTTTTGTTTGTCTGGTTTCATTATATTTGAAGCAGCTGGAGAGAAGAACACATCAACAGCACACAGTCAGGCTTGGCTCTTGTCCTAGAGCAGCACCGGATTATATGGGATTACAGGATGATCAGGATGCCCCCTGCCCCCTCCTGCCCCGTTGTTCTACTGGACATAAACACGTTGCAGAGGGCACTGTGTATTCTAGGGCCAGCACTTTTTGGGTGAGAAGAAGTTGTTGTTTTTTTAACCACAAAGCCTGATATTCAAGCTTTGGCTGTGTCTGATTTACAAGAGACACAAACAAATGACTTCTCACCAAAGCTAAGCGTCCATCAAGACTATACTTTACATGGGAGTTGGATTTCAGAGCCAAGATGATTTTAAATGCAACTTTCAGAAAAAAATAGCTTATAAATCTCTCGGTATGCTATATTATGACCAAATATTGGATTCAATCTCTTTTGTCAACTAGTTTTCTTTTAATTTGGTCAGGTTTTGTATTTATTTTTGGAACTGATTGATCGTAGGCTTCATTAATCTGAGCTCATGCACCCCAGTTTTTGTGTGAAAAAAGTTCTTGTGTGATAATTTTGTCAATATTCAATAAAAAATGAAGGAACACTGTTTGTCACACTAATGTGCTTTAATGTTTAACCAGGAAGTTTGTATTGAAATGCTTTTATCTTGTACAAAATGGCACAAATTCACACTTTTGAAGCTCCCGGTCAAAAATTACCAGCCTACAAAAAATTGCTTATCAATCTTTCATTACTCTATATTATCACCAAATATTGGATTCAACCTTGTTGTCAACTTGTTTTCTTTCAATTACGAACAGGTTTTGTATTTATTTTTTGAAACTGACTACATTGTAGGCCTCATTGATCTGAGCTTGAATTGGTCAAAAATGATGGGGGAATGGGAAATAGGAGAAACATCAAGTGTTCAGGAGCATGTTCATCATGTTTATGTTCACATGCACTACTGTACATGTGTACTTGCAAAGATAAAGGCCCTGGGCCTGTGCATGTGTGGATCCGCGCACATACACACGTGCTCATGTACACAAACAAACTATTTTGAGTATTATATAGGCTTTCTTTTTCACAGAGATCGTAAGATCATTGACGTTGATCAATTTAACTTTATCCTCAGAACAATGAGGCTCAGATCAATAAAGCCTGTGATCAATCAGTTTAAAAAATAAATACAAAACCTGTCCTAATTGAAAGAAAACAAGCTGACAACGATTGAATTTGATATTTGGTGATAATATAGCATAGCGAAAGGTTTATAAGCAATTTTTCTGTAGGCCAGTCATTTTTGACTAGGAACACCACAAGTAAATATCTATTTATCTAACATTTAAATAGATAACAACAACAATAATAGCCAGGCCTATATCAGCACAATACCCTGGTTAGAACATTTAACAGCATTTTGACATAAACAGTAAAACGTTACTTGGCAGTTGACAACCTTTAAACACCACAAACAGTTCATATTCAATCCTTAATGCCTGCAAGAGCTTACATCTCTTTGTATAGTAAACAGTGGCAAAAAGAGCCAGGAGGGAAAAAAAAATTGGAAGGAAACTACATCTTGCTATAAACTCTTTGTGGTGCCATTGATAAAGAGGTAGTTTCCAGGACTATAGCAGCTTTCATAGTCCCCAGTGAACAGTAAACTTCCTGACACTATGCAGGCAGCTTATGGCAGCAGCTCCAAGAACTCCCTGTTCTTCAATAACCATGGCATGGCTATAAAAGTCAGCTTCTTTCCAGCGGTGTTCCTCATTGGAATGTACACGTCCTGATGCGCCTGTTTAGTTGGAAGCAAAGGTGTCAACCCAAAAGTGTGGGAACACAAACGTTTGTGCTTTTGTAACACTGAAACAGATGGTACTGCATTGATCTTAATGATGGAGATATGCTTTGGTCTCACGGGTCTCTCACAATGATGTGAATGGGTTGATGGTTTTACTGGGGGAGGGGATGAAAGAGCCGATAGATAATCTATCCAACAATGCAGCAATCTTCAATAAATGCATGACCTAATCTGTGGACAATTTATATGGAAAATGAAAGACATACAAGACTTTTATCTGCTCGTCATGCTGATAAAAAGAACAAAACATGAAAACAGGTTTGCAGACCAGTGCTGGATCATGGCTGATCTAACAATAATACCTTATTTTAGGATTACAACTTTGACCTCTTAAAATTCAGCATTTCAAATCTCTGAAAACCTATTTAAACCGATTACACTGCATTGTAAGAGCTGCTTTTGTTTATTGCACCTGTTAGACCGCTACTCAATGGATTTCATGAAGGGTCATATGAGCTATTTTGAGGAAAACAGCAGATGTTAATTTTGGGAGGTTTTTCTTTAGAAAAGGATTAAAAAATGCATCCAGAAAACAATTTTACCGGCATGTGAAAACCTGATGTTTACAGCAAGATAATTCTTTTTGTGTGTGTTTTTTTATTTTTATTTTGTATGGCACATAGCTTACAAATAGAAATGAACCCTTGATCCTAAGAGGAAAATGGAATATTTAGTTCAAGATGTCAACGAGAACAAACGATGAGAGACTCTTACATTTTGTGTCTCTTACAAGCCTGGTGTTCAAAAATAATCTGGGCATTATTACAGGCACAAAACTCTGACAAAATAATGGTAAATAATAATAACATTTTTTTGATTATATAAATTTAAATCTAATTAAAAATCTAAAAAAGGCCATCAAGTGTCCAATTGAGTGTGCAGACGATAGCAGTGACAGTGTCCAACATAAAACTTAATTGTATTTGAATATAACAGCGCCCCCTATTCTCCCCAATATGTTCGGCACCCAAGAGTCATGCAGTCTGCAGGGATGCATGTTTGTCAGAATTAGAGCACCTCTCTTTCCAAAACAACACTGTCAGAGTCCAGCAAGTGCAAAGCAGAAGTTAATGCATTTTGTCAGCACTGGCAGCCCTGCAAGCCAAAAGCTATTAACTCTGAAAGGGAAAGGCATTTCCTTCTTGTAAATGCCATATTAAATTATTATTATTATTTCATTTGGTAACTGGGAAAAGCCTATCGGAGCTATATTGCCCTATGTAAGTGGTGACTTGTAAATGGAGAGTGGGATATTTTTTTTAAGGCCACCGTGATTTGGCGACACAGAAACACTAATTTAGTCAGGGGTCTGAGTGCTACCTTTAACATAAATCCATTGTTTGGGATCAGACAACCCAAATCCCGAATTCTACACGTTAAGTAGCCCAACCTCATCGTTAAACATAATGTCTAGGACATTTTATAATAGTGCATTGACCTCATTTGCAGCACACAAAATTTTATACCCATAAGGCAGTTTCATTTTTCATGTTCTTTCACATGGGTAATTATCACCTAGTTCAGCAGCGACATTAACAAGCACACCGGGGAAAGTTCATGGTTCATCCATGGTCTACTAGGAACATTGTTATTCTCATAAGTGGTGCTGAGCAGGAAATTTCTCTCCTTAGGTTGATTTGACCTCCACATGGGCCGAACCTGGCCTCCCAAACCAGTGGTGAGCTAGTTTAAGATATCAGGTTTTAAACTGCAAAACGTTATATTATAAACATTTGTGTCAGTGTGACCTCCATTTAACTAGGAGGCTTGCCAAGAAGGGTCCACTGCAAAGTGATACCCTGTAAATTTCACACTGAAGAAATTCATGTCATTAACGCGTCCATATATCTGAAGAATCGCAGCTACGGTCTGGCTGCATCACTAAGCTATTATAGCTCTCATGACCGGGCTCTTAGCCACAGGTTACAACAGAACGTTTTTGAGATTTAGCGTTTCGGAGCATGACCTTGCGGGCTGTAATTGTTCCTCATGAGCTGGTGCCACGCCAATATTAAAATGGATAAAGGGCTTGAACTTGATGTGAGGACAGGCTTTTATTTAACGTACCTTAGATAGGACAGAATTTAAACTCGCCATTAAGTGCAGATCCTCCCTCACAGCGAAGATTTACAGGAGGGCTTTCGCTTTTCGTATGTGTATCAGATGTTCTCGCCAATACAGAAGACTATTTCTTAATGTTATTCCTATGCATCCAACAGACAAACCAATAGGATATGGGCCTAGTTCGAGACGGTCGCAGAACCGCGGCATTGTGGACGAATGCTGCTTTCAGAGCTGCGAACTGCGGCGCCTTGAGATGTACTGTGCACCTGTGAAAACCGGAAAAACTCCACGATCCCTACGAGCGCAACGGCACACGGACATCACCAGGACAGCAAAGGTGTGCAGCCACGCTTGTGATGTCAATAGTGAACCTTTGCTAAGCTCCACCTCCTTGGTTATTGTCATTTGTACCATTATTGTACCATTGGTCAGCACCGTTTAGCGAAGGGGTCAAAAGAGCATTTGATACAATCGTACATTTCTGTAAAACCTTGGGACGGATAGTAACAATTTATGAATATATAATGCTGATGCAACATTAGTTGACTAATGTGGTTGATATTAGTTCATAACTGTACTGATTGTGTTACCTTGCAGAAACCTATATCTGGACATAGCCACTCTTCCTGTAAGGTAAGTCTTCCCTCAGTCTGAGAGCGAGCCGTAATTTACAGTGCTGCGTATGTGCATGAGAGGGCTTGAATTATAACAGCATTTAAGTTTAGTGCTTTTTTATTAAGCCTGTAAAATTCTGTCATAGACTCACCCTAATGCCTGCATGACTTTCCGATTTTTGTGGTAAACACGCTGCAAAAGATCTTTCGCAGTGTATTTGTCTTGCTTTCCAGTACAAATATCTAAACATTCTTAAAATCAAGGTATATTTACTTGAAAAGCAAAACAACATTTCAAGTCTTATGTTCTGAAAAACTGATCAAAATTAAGTGAGTTTTTTCTTAAAACAAGAAAAAATATCTGTCAATAGAGTAAGAAAATGATACTGGTTTCACCCAAATTTAGTTGTTTTTGATTTACCCAGATATTTGGCAGATATTTAGTTTTAAGCATAAATTCACTTAAATTAAATGTATATTGATTTAAGAATGTGTATATAATTGTACTGGAAAACAAGAGAAACACTAAGATTTTTTTTTCCAGTGCAAAAGACGAATTTTTGAGATCTAAAATTACACACTGACAGACAGACAGACATACATACACACACACACACCTCTGAATTACCATAAAGTGGTTCACAACTCATTATTTAAGCTATTCTTTGCTGAAAATCTTGACATCCGCCATGTAAATGAAATAGCAATGTTCAAACAAATTATTTTGAGTCACATCTTGAATTAAATCCATTCAAATCCAGTTTACAACATCAGTCTGAATGATTCTTTCTGCAAGACTGGTCCAGTACTTCAACTCATTAACTCAATGATCCAGTTGTAGATGTCCAGCTGTTACCAGCTCATGCAGAAAAGATCAGTGAATAATGACTTAAACTTAGCTATTCTACGGCTTCAGAAGACTAATATAGCACATAAGTTATATGGACCACTTTTATGATACTTTCACTTTCCTTATTTTTCACTCTCCCCATTTATTGCAATTGCACGGAACAGAGCAACCGACACATTCTACAAAATGTCTTCTTTTGTGGTCCACTCAAAAAAGAAAGTCATACGGTCTTGAAACGAGTGAGTAAATGATGACAGAAATTGTATTTTTTGGTGAGCTTTTTACGTCATCTCAGAACAGAGCGAATAATGGCAGTACATTGTGCTACGATACATACTAAGGAAAAAGCAGCTCTTCCCTCACCCCTGCTGCCCAAATGTGGGCCATCCTTTTAAGTGCTCTCAGTCGTCCTCTCTCGAAAAAGAAAACCATTAGCAAGTGAACTGCCTAAGTGGTTTTTGTGGTAGACCTGCATACGCTCTCCGCAGACATATTTCTGCACCCATACGTAATGCGCTGGAAGCTGAGTCTAAGGTCACCTTAGAAGTCTGCACGCTGAGTTCAGAGTCTGGACCCTCATGCCGGCCTTTCTCCTCCACTCCCTGCATGCGGTTTCATTCCCAGCTTAGCTTTCGTGAATTACACTTATTAATCTTGCTGCGGTGAAACCTTTGATGTCTTGCTTTGACAGTAGATTTCCTCGGCATTATGAAATAACACTACGTTCACCAAACAGCTGTGTTGTTACGGGCAGCGACAGCCGTTCTGCTCTCCTTGGTTCGGCTTTTTGCGTTACTTCTCATCATCTGAACCGACATTTACTGCCTTTCTCTTTCTTATTTTCAGGAGGTTCATCAGAAGAACTCAAGCCGAGGAAACACAGGGGGCAGAAACTATCGCATGTAGGACAGCGGGGGGAACGGCTATACAAGCGAAACTGTTGGACAGTGGAAAACGGGATGAAAGAAAGACTGGTCTTCCAGGGGCGTGCTCCACTGTAAAAAAAAAAAAAAAAAAAAAAATGATTTACTGAATATCTGATGATTTCCATGCACTGCACCATTCTATACTGGGGGAAAATACTAAATTAGCTGCTATAAAGAGTCAAATAATAACTGTTTATCCTCCTTGTGTGAACGGTTGCACATAATGGATGCCGAAAGCTTTTCAAAGTGGCAAAAAAATGTGTCAGAGCCCTATAAATTGGCCCTACTCTAGTTCGCAGCACCTATTAAATGTTCATATTCCACTGAATTCTGATGGATGGCCACTGGAACAGAAGTAATAGGTGACTATTGATGCCCCACACACATTAAGTTACTTATAATTCTTATCACAATCTGGATCTAGTGGAAGAAAGCTGTAATATTTTTTATCTCAAAAACATTTTTTTGCAGGCAAACGTGTTGCCTTTATGAGAAATGTTAGAAGCTCCGCTGCCAAGAGAGGGGTTCGCAATGAGATCACGTGTTGACAAGAAAGGCTGTCTAGACAGTTTATACCAGATGAAACCCTTGCAAATCTGAACTACGGCTGCACAGAAAGATGACGTTTAAAATACAAATCACTCTTTTCTTATTTGACTCATTGTGCAAGACCAGATCAAGAGGGATTATACAAAAGCCTTATGCAGATGTGCTGAGGTGCTCTAGAGAACACATTTAGGAATGATAGAACATGACCTACATCCTGCAAAACACCTTGTGTGTGTTTTTTTTAAATTGTGTGTGAGGGATCTTTGCTTCTTTTTAAAAAAATAAGTTTAACTGCATGGTTTACCTTCATTAGAAAATGGGAGGTGAAAGCCATTCACTCGAACAGTTATCCGCATGCATTTACACCAGTGTATCAGCACTCACAGGAAAGACAGAGGGAAGACAACAGAAACATAAAAATTACTAGCAATTGTAAGGTATGAACATCAATAAGAACATAATATGTTTAAGCAACTACTTTTCATCAAACAGGAAGTTGCAGGTTTGCATCTTTATAGTGAAAGACTGGTGGCATGAGCCGGACTGCAACTCATAGCTGTATTAAAGGGATATTTCACCCAAAAAGTTAAATTATGTAATTCTTTATACTCATTTTACATTACCCTCTCATGGGTTAGCTTCCAATATAATATTTAGGAAAATGCAACTTTTCTAGCATAATTTAGCAACTTAATGGCCCACAATGTGACCATTTCTCATTAAAAAAAATCTGAAGCGGAAATGGGAATCTATATAGGTAACATTTTTTCAACGACTTGCATTTCACACCTAAAAAATACAGGAATTGTGTTTTATCATGTTAATTTTGTCCATTTTGGAGCTTTATAAAGTGCAACAGTTGGGTTCAAGAAGTAAAAGCCTTACTGTGAGCTATGAGGCTGTTAATCGATAGAATTAGCTTCTGTTAAAGCCATCAGCCCGCATTATTTCAGCTTAGTTTGAAAATAATCATGTTTAACAGTGGTATTTGTGTTGAAAAACTACATTTCCCACGACGCTGTACAAAAAAAAATTTCCACCAATCAGAGAGGTCAGAATAAGCATAAAGTGCCAAAAGATCTCTTTAGCCTCGCCCACTCCCACGAAGCACTGCGAATGACATAATCGAGTCTCCCTACACTCTCAAAATATTTGAATATATAAATGCATATTTTGCAATAAACTTAAAATATATTGTATATGAATTTCTAAATTAATTCGATTATGCTGTTCGCAGTGCTTCAGGGATTGTAGTTCTTTCCCTCAATAAATCCATTAAGTACACAAAGGCCGATTTTCAAATACTTTTTTGCTTCAAATCTAAGTTTGTAGTGTTATAATTTACCTCGTAGCTGGTTGGCTTGGTTAATGACTTATAACGCTTTAACAAAGACTTTTTTGAAATCCCTATGGGAGAAATGATTGGAAAAAATACTTCCGGAACCAACGCCGCTGAAAAAGTGAACAGGCGCTGTTACACTCCATAGACAGGGTCACTCTCATTATACAGCAAAAATCGTTTTTCAGTAAATAGTCAGAATTTGGGTTTTTGGGTGAACTATCCCTCTACACACCACTTTAAATGGCTGTCAGAGGGGGTCGCGGGGTGTTTTCACAGTCCCTCTGCATGGTGTTTTCCTCTTTTCTGAACCCATCGGATCATGTCAACCCACACCGTTTACTCTGTATCTATATTCAACCTATATTAACCTTTGCATTCTCTAACCATAATCGTATGTGATGGCATCATATAGCGGAACCATATAAAAGATCAACCCACTGTATAATGGTGCTATTTTGTAGTTTGTTACTTGCAGGGGTTGGCTGAAAACATAGGTGACGGCTTGAGAAGCTCAATGTCGGAAGTCTTCCCTTTTGCACAGCCTTGTGGCCACCATTGTAATAATATTCTTTTATTTTTAAGCTATTTCAATAAGGTAACAATGTAAGCGAGAGAAAGTATTTTTGTGAGCGCTGTGAATGCATGGAAAAAAGAAAAATGTGGCCCGAGATGGTTAATTGCTGTTTTTGTTTTTTAAAATTATTCATATTTTTGAAACAATGTCCCTATGCCAAATAACTTGACAGAGTACTGTGAACTGCAAATCTCCAACATTACCAAGATTTTGACCATCACAATGTAGCTTTTCATGCGCACTACACTCATTTTGACATCCTGGCACTGATTCTACAACTTAAGTATTTGTAACTGGCAAAGAAATGGGGCAAAACTGTCTTCAGTGTAATACAGAGACGAGAAAGACTCTCTCCCCTTGAGTAATAATAGAGTTAAAGTACAGTTCAACCAGCTAGCAACAGTGTAATTTGGCTAACACTGTACGAGCCCATTCAGGACCGTTGGTTTTCTTTTCACCTGCCTGTGTTTTTACTTATCGATATGCCTAAGGAGGTTTAATAGGAAAATTGCACCAAAATTATTTCAATTACACCAGTGCAATGAAGAAAGGTTATGGTTTAAATAACAGCACATTAGCCATCTGAAGATAAATCATCTAGTGTAGACAAGATGGATGCCATGTTCAAAAAGGCAACTATCTATTTTTTGACAACCTAAATTTGTGTCTTAAAGTGTTTGTACTTTTGAACTCGGCGGTTTTTAAAAGTGTTTTAAAAGTGTGCATATCTTCTCAATCAGCATTAAGAAACAATAGAACAATGTAGAATCATATGCAATAGCCACCCAGAATATCGATGTAATGTGCACAAGTTATCTGATTGTAAAAGACCTCCGGCAAAAGGTCCTCACAAAATACCAAAGACTTTGGTTTGTTGGTTATAGCTTTGTAGCTAATATCATGGGTAGCACTGAAGAAACTTCTTGAATCTTTAATTAGACACATTAAGGAACATATTGTTAAATATCATGCTTATTTTGAAGTGGTTCTGTTTCCTCATAAATTAAACGGAGGATTTAAGACTGCTGCGGCGATTTGCGCCACTTTGCTTGTGTTTGATAGTTTTCATCAGAACATGTCTACATAAATCCAGAGACAGAAACTGTATTGAATGACAAATATTAGAGGATTCTGGGCATTGATCATTAAAGCTTTTTTTTTTTCATTACTGGTGCTCAATTGCTTTCTGTATAAAATATGAAAATACTGACAGATTGTTCACCATTCCTGCTGAATAAACCACTTGTCAATACTGAAGTCTCAGAGTGATTATAAATGACAGAAACTATACATTTGCATTTCCTTATGAAACAGGAAGTCTGGGCTGGACTTGAATGGTCAATACATGTTAGTTACATAACAGCCACAAATGAAGATTTGCTGCTTGCTGGCCAGTTTCAGGGTGGATGGGCTTTTCCTTCTAGAGAGCATTTGATTGGACAAAAAGTCTGTTAGAGCAGGATGAGTCATCAATTTTTTAGTTCGTTTTCCCAGAAGAGAAAAACTTTTCAAAGCTAACACAAATGAAGCTCCAAAAATGTAGATTTCAAAAAGTTTTTCAAGCAGAGAAAGCAATGTTCTTGCCCCTTGCAAAGCACCTTGGATTCTAAAAAGTGATAAAGGTGTAACATTTGCCAAATAGAACATTAATGCCCTAAAACTGCACATTAGCCGCATGACAAAGTGATACTTCCTAAAATATGAAGTTCCGCCAAGACAAACAAATCAGGCAGTGGCTGTACTGACAAGACGGCTGCACATTCAGCTCTTTCTAGGAGGTACTCCGTGACGGGACAAAGCTTCTTGGTTGCTGTCAGCACTTTTTAATGGATATATAGTGGAACAATCAAGCCTTTTAATAAATAAATTGGCCACCTGGCTTATGTACAGCAGACATAATTTGAAATGTGGAGCAGGCGGCTGGCAGGCGTTGTCTCAATGTTATTTTGAATCTTTATTTCATCCATTTTTCCTTGTAATACCAAATCAATTCTTATGCCCAATTAGACAAATTACAGTCTGCAAATAGTTCTGGATTCTCTGCAAAACCAGAGAAACCATTGAATAACCTTTCTAGAATTGTAATAGATTATCCAAACCTGACTTGGTCTACGCTACCTCCAACTTGGTCTGCACAAAAAATACATTACAAACATCTGCTAATTGAATGTAATTTTACACTTTTGTTAAAGGGAACGTTATGCCGTTTCAAACCCGACAGAATGTTCGCACTACTCTTTTCAATATGGTGAAGCTAAATGGTGACCAGATCTCCACAATGTCATAAAAAGTGCCATAAAAGTACAATAAAAGAAGTCAACAAATTATGTATCTGCTATATTTCTCACTCTTTTTTTTAAAGCAATACAATAGGATTGTGCAAAAAAGTCAGCCAAGAACATAAACAATCAGTAGATACTGCACGTCCAAACCACACTCCATGAAAACACTTTGAATCCTATTAAATCTTGCAACGTTCCAATGACATTCTTGTCTATTATGACAACAGCAATGTACACTTCTCACACGTACAACATGCCAGTACCCTATGCCATCCAGCAATGGTAACCAAAGACAGCTGTTTGAAGGCAGCAGCTTCCCATCTGCTGGTCAAGTTCAGAGGGATTCTAGCTAAAAAGCAAGCTTGTGTATTTCCCCCAGACCAGGCCTACTGTAGCTCTCAGAGTGCCGAGTGCATCTAAGGACACGGTTCCTGGACCTAACCCTGAAACTGAAGCTTCGAGCTCATTCAACTTACATGTGCTATTGTCTTTTCAATGACCTTGTGGTCTAATTCAGTTCTTTCTCTCATTCCCAAACTTCCCCACAGTAGTTTGAAGAAATAGAATTAATGTAGGGCTGAAAAGGCTTTTTTGTTTCACTGCTAGTGGATACAAGGCATCAGTTAGCCTGCTGGAATGGCTGGTGCATGAAGATTTGCAAAAATAAGTTAT